TACGAATAAAGGAATAAACATTTAAACAGCATTGATTAAAAATACAGATATTAATCATAATGATTTAAATTAAATTATTTAAATTTATATCTTAAAGTATTAAATAATAATATTATATTAAATAATATTAATTAAGTATTATTAAAGTTATTAATATATTAATTAAGTATTAAATAATAATAAAATAATAATATTAGAATATTTTCCGAAACGATATAAAAATAAATATTGGAAATGGCTAATAAAAGGCAATCAAGAAAATAAAATTGATTTTGAAAATATCCATAAATAAAATTATTAAATACCATGTATCAATGAGCAATAAAAAAAAGTATATTCCTTGCCATTCATTCCCAATTCTTAAATATCAACTTATTACACGTAAATATTTTAAATTAAAAAATAAGAATTTTAACAAAAATATATATGTATTCTATTAAATTAAATACTACTTATATATATTTAATAAAACTATATATTTACATATTTACCATAATACAATATGTGCTATTTTATATATATTGGATATTATATATACATATATGTATACATATATATATATATATATGTCTATAAGGTATTTTCCCGTTGCTTAATAACTGCTTGTACACATTTTGCCATTGTTTGCGAAGCACGAGATATCGCATCTGTCATAAAAAAATTATCTAATGTTTTTTGTTTAACTTCTATTGGATTGGAAGACAATGAACCTGACACTTCCTATAAAAAACATAAAAACAAAAATATAAATCAGTTATTTGTTATATATCAAATCTCATTGAAGTATATTATTTACTTTTTTAAAAATTTTTTAAAAATTTAAAAAAATATTTACCTTTGATAATTCTAGTACTTGAGTGAAATAATTAGCTGATTCTATATTACCATATCTAATTAAATGTGGCGCTATTTCTTCCAATCTAGATCTTATTTCAGCTAAATTATCATAAGGTAAACAAATTCCACAAATCTATAAAAATATTAATTATTTTCTTTTTTCCAACTTACTTTACATTAATTTAATATAATTTAATAATTTAAAATATTAAATTAATAATATGTTATGTAGATAATTATATGTTATATAATAATATTATATATATGTTATATTTATATTTTTTATATAATATAACATTAATTATATGTTATATAATAATTATAACAATAAACTAAAGAAATTAACTAAAGAAAGTAATTAATTATATATTAACTTACTTCAGAAAGAGCTCGTATAATTTTCCAATCTGGTCGAGCCATACCCGGTGGTGTAATTGCAGCTTGAGTTTGTTGTGCACGACCTTCTGTATTTACATATGTTGCAACTTTTTCAGTATATGCAGCTCCAGGAAATATGACATCTGCAATCGAAGCTCCTTCGTCACCATGGCTACCTAAATCATTAATAAAAATCATTATTTATATTCTGCTAATAAATAATATTATTATATACCTATAAAAATAAATAATGATATTTCTTGCATACCTATATATACGATAAAAGTATTTGGAAAATCTTCTTTTTTAATATTTGAATCATCAGCTGATAATAAAAAGAGAATTTTCGGTTGTTGCTCCTTAACTTCTTCAACAGATGATGAATAACCCACATCTAAAGCTGCCACTTGTGATGCATTTGTATGAAGAATATTTAATACTTTCCATTCTTTGGGAGCCTAATAAAGAATGTAATCAACATTCCTATGATAATTATACATATAATTACAATAATAAAAGATATTTTTATCATTTTTTTCTTACTTCTATGTTTTCTTTTATAGTTTGTGCCAATAATTGTGTTTCAGATAAAATTTTTGCTCCATCTTTTCTGGTTAATTGCTCAACACCCAAGATAATTAAAGGTTTCTTAGCAGATTTCAAAGTATTTGAAAATGAATGAGTACCGTTTTTTAATTGTGTTATAATTTCTGGAGATTGACCTAAATGCTAATATTTAAATAATATTGATCTTAAATAAATATTAGCTAACAGAAAATGATATATCAAAATATATATTATGAGTTTCTTCACTTACTTCATAATTATAAGTTAAATCTATTTTCGGACCAATTTGCGCAATGATTTGTTCACCGTGAATATATCCTTTTCTTATTCGAGTATTAACTAAAGGTGCTTCATATCTTGGATTAGTACCAATCAATAATACAACGTCAGCATCTTCTACTGCAGCAATTGTGTTATTTAATAAATAATTATTTCTTATATCAATACCTGTGCCATGCTTTGGAAAGTTTTGTTCTGTTGCAAGAATTTCACTGCCAAGTCTATTTACTAAATCTTTCAAAGCCACAAGAGCTTCAGTATCAGCTAATTTTCCAGCAATTACAGCACATTTATTTGGGGCTAAATTGCGAATAGCTTGAGCAGCTAAAAAAAGTATATTATCTCAATATAATAAATAATAATAAATAATATATCTCAATATATTATTATATATAAGATATATATTGATTAAAATTATGTAAAAAAAAAAACATAATAAGATTTAAGAATTTAGAATATTTTTAATATTAAAAATTATATAAAATTAATATAAAATTATATACAACACACTTGTTACAAGAGCATCTTCCCATTCAACAGCTTTTAACTTTCCATTAATTTTTATCATAGGAGTTATAAGCCTTTGGCGTTTCAATCCATCATAAGAAAAACGAGCTTTATCAGATAACCATTCTTCATTTATTTCCTGTATAATATGTCATAAAGAATATTTATAAATATATTTCATCAACAGTTATCATATTAATAATACCTCATTAATTCTTGGTAAAATTCTCAAAACTTCACCAGTCCTATGAGATATAACTATATTACTACCAACAGCATCAAGAACATCAATACTATCTGTACGACGTGTTTCCCATGGACGAGCAACAAAAGCATATGGTTTACTTGTTAATGCTCCAACAGGACATAAATCGATAATATTACCAGATAGTTCAGATAAGAACATTTTCTCTACATATGTTCCTACCTATTATAATAATATAAAATAAATTATAATATAGTAATATATAATAATAATATATATATAATAATATAATTAATATAATAATATAAAATAAATTATATAATAAATAAAATAATAAAATTTAATAACGTAATAAAATTTAATAAAATAATAAAATTTAATAACGTAATAAAATTTAATAAAATAATAAAATTAATTAATGAAAAATTGTTAGACATACTTGCATATCATTTCCACGACCTGTAGTTCCTAAATCATCAATACCAGCAACTTCAGATGCAAAACGAATGCATCTTGTGCAATGAATACAACGTGTCATAATTGTCTTTATTAGAGGACCAATATCTTTATCTTCAACTGCTCGTTTACCACTATAATTAATATCAACAAATCTACTCCGATCACTACCAAATGCCATACTTTGATCTTGTAAATCACATTCACCACCTTGATCACAAATAGGGCAATCTAAAGGATGATTTACTAATAAAAATTCCATGACACCTTCCCGTGCTTTACGAGTTAAATCAGAATTAGTTTTTACTCTCCACCCTTTCATTACAGGCATGGCACAAGCTGCAACAGGCTAAATATTTATACAATAAAATACATATATAATTTTAATTGAAATTTATTATGTTTGTGAACATATATACATATATATATATATATATATGTATATATATATATATATTAAAAAGAAAAAGAATAAATACCTTAATTTGTTTTTCAATTTCCACAAGACACATTCTACAATTTCCTGCTACAGCTAAACGTTCATGATAACAAAATCTAGGAATTTCTACTCCTATTTTTGCAGCAGCCTAAATGTAATAAATGTATTAAGTAATAATATAATATTTTTTTATTAAATATTTTTACTTAAGTTACTTAAGTTAATATACTAAATATAAATAATATTTGATCAATAAAAAAATTATGTTACCTGCAAAACAGTTGTTCCTGGTGGAACTTGAACTGGTTTGTCATCTATGAATATTTCTATTAATTCTTGCTGAAATTTAGATGATGTTGTATATAATCCTACGGTAGGAAATCTGGCATTCTGTAATCCCGTAGATAATCTTATCACAGGAAATCTTAACATTTTGCTCCAATTACTGTTAAATGTCAAAGTTATGCTGTTATGTAAGAAAATTTTACCATTTCAAAATTTACAATAATAAATATAATAATCTAATTTATAAATAATAATAAATAATAATCTAAATATATAATTAATAAAATCATACTTTTTTTAATTGTTATAAAACGAATAAGTCAATATATATTAAGTATTAATAATAATTAAAATATTATATTAATAATAATTAAAATATTCATTTGTTTAATCAAAATTACCAAATCTTTATCCGTTATGCAAATTTCTTTTAAACTTTGCGAATCTAAAATGGACAATCTACAAAATCAATGTAAAATAAGATTCACAAATAATATATATATTGTTTAATTATATATTTTCGAGCATTGACAAAGTAGTATCTTCATGATTTGAGTTAATTTTAGAATACATTCTTCGCGACATCTATCAAAAAAATTACTCTAATGTAAATAAATTCAATTATAAATAATAATTATTCAATTTTATTTAAAAAATTCTTTATATGATTTAAAAATAATTTTGAATTCATATGCATAAATATGTATATATTTAAATATACATGTATATAAATTTTAAATTTTTAAAATGAAATTTAAAAATAAGTAAATATCATATTACAATTATATATTACAATTATAATTTAATTAATTTCATAAAAAAAAAGTACAATAGATAAAAGATTTTTATGAATATCTGTATCAAATCTTTATGAAATAGAACAAATTAAAAAAATAAAATAAATAGAAATTAAAATGAGTAGAATATTGTCTAAATAAAAATTGAAATATTATAATGTACAAATTAATTATATTTTAGAAAAAAATAATTAAATTAATTAAAATAATTTTGCAATTAAAAAATTATAATTTATAGTTACTTTCTAGTTATTTTATTATTTCCCAAGAATTGCCGGAATGACGTCATGCTACAAATAATGAACCATCAATTTTTCATTGAACATAGCTCCGTTTTCCGGTAAGTAGATAAGGGGGACAACATTACAAGAAACTTCAGTTAAGTATCTACATTTTATTTAATCTTCCATTATGGCTATTGGTGATCTTAAAACTGATAAAGGTATCAAAGATTTAAATTCTTATTTGGCAGATCACAGTTATATCGAAGGGTAAGTGTATTTTTATTTTTATAAAATTTATATTGAAATACACGTGGTTTTATACTTATCAAAATCTTAAGATCATTGAACCATTAATTCATTTTTTTTTCATTTAATTTTTATATAATACTTCGAATTATATTTTTTTTTGTATATTTGTGTTTTAGTACGTATTTTTATCTTAAAAAATAATTTGAATATTGAATATTTTTTAACATAATAATTTATTCCATTTATATGCATATTGAAATATAAATTAAAATTAAAAAAAATATATAAAAGATAAGGAATAATTGTTATTGACAATTAATAATTTTCATAGTTTCTTTTGAATTTGAGTTTTTCATAGAAAACTAAAGTAAAATTGGAAGTGAAAAAAAAGAATTATGAAACTGATGAAAATGAAGATAAAAAAAAAAAATCACTGAAAAATGAATAATATTTTGAATAATATCATCAATGAATATGAAAAAACTGTTTTCGAATTTGTTTTCAAACATTTTGATATTATTTATTCATTAATAAACATTCTGATATTATTTATTCATTCTAATATATCTATAATAAAATATTATATATATTGTTTATATTTTATATATATATTTTAAATTCAATAAGAATATAAATAAATTTTTATAAGAATATCAAACATATATTATTATATTTTTAAGGTGGCAACCTACTCAAGCAGATGTAGTAATTCTAGAAGCTTTAGGAAAAACTCCAACATCTTCAAATCCTCATGTTTTACGATGGTATAATCACATCAAATCATATGATTTAAAGACACTTCCAGGAGAAAAGAAAGTACCTGTCATATTAGGTAGCAATAATATAGCAGGAAAGAATGAAGAAGATGACGATAAAGACGTAGACCTCTTTGAATCTGATGAAGAAGAAGATCCTGAAGCTGTAAGACTTAGGGAAGAAAGATTAAAAGAATATGCAGAAAAGAAATCTAAAAAACCAGTACTCATTGCTAAGTCCAGTGTTGTATTAGATGTTAAACCATGGGATGATGAAACTGACATGAAGGCTATAGAAGAAATTGTGAGATCTATTCAAATGGATGGTCTAACTTGGGCAGCATGTAAATCATTTTGCTGTTTTCAAAATCAAATCAAAAATTTAATTTTACAAAATTATCAGTTTTATACATATTATGTTTCCAGCTAAATTAGTTGCAGTGGGCTATGGCATTCATAAGTTCAGGATAATGTGCATTATAGAAGATGACAAGGTATCAGTAGATTCACTGATAGAACAAATAGAAAGTTTTGAAGAATATGTTCAATCTGTTGATATTGAATCATTCAATAAATTATAAATAATTGTTTATATCTATTATCTCCAATGTAAACTTAATAAATAATAATCATTGTTTATATATATTATATATATATATATATATTATATACATATTATAATATATATGTTATATATATATTATATATATATATAATTTATTATTGCACAGAAAAATTAGTAATTTCAATGATAATATTAATAAAATTATAATTGGAGTATTATTTAATGATATTGCTTTAATATTTATAATAAATTTAAAAGTTGATATTTTATTTTATATATTTTTACAAAGAAAAACTTTTAACATTTAACATAACAAAAGAAAAACTTTTATTATTACAAAGAAAAACTAAAAAATATAAAAAAGAATTGTCATTTTAATTAAATGAAAAACATTAAAAAACAAATTGTTTAAAATTAAATTTCAACTTCATATAAGATAAAAAAATTCTGAAACTTTGATAATATATCTTAAAGTTCAGATTATGATTTTGCAAAGTAAAAATAGTAATTTCAATGTTTCATCTATATAATTTTATCAAAAATCGCTAATCATAAGATATTATTTATCACATATACTTTACATATTTGTAAATATAATGCTTGGAAAATTATCTATTAAGTTAAAAATTTTTGTTAATTAACATAGGTTTCATATGCAAATTTTCTATTATTCATGACAGAAAGATCCAGATATCTCCTCTATGTTCAGTATAGACAGGATATAAATATTATCATGTTTTTTCGCAGACACATAATTTTTTTATATGTCACCAATTCTTATATAACATATTGAAACTCTGTAAGAAAATTATTGAAATTATAGTATTGCTTAAGTCTTTTGAGAATATAATGTTATCAAAACTTTGGAATACTTTTGCAGTAAAATACAAATTTATTATGAAAGTTTCAAATGTTAATATAAAAAAATGATTAAAAATATCCAATTCCTATTAAACATTTCAATAAAAAATTCAATAAACTTATAATAAAATCTTTAATATCTATATTATCATATTTAAATATCATAAAATATTTGATTAAACTTAAAATTTTATTTTTTATTTATTTTATATTTTATATTTTAACAGTTTATTCTATTGATTAAAACTTTCATTTTTATTTTTATTATTATAAACTTATTATCTATATATATATATTATGTATATATATATATATTATCTATATATTATCTAAACTTATTATTATTATTATGTATTATTATATTTTTAATAATTTTGTTTTTTTAAATTTTTTTAATTTTTCAGTTCTATTTATTAGTAATGATTAGATTGAATTCATATTGTTTATAATAAATAACTCGCAATGTGAACTATATTTGCTGATAATATAAAACAATGAATTATCTAATAAACAATGAATTGGTTATTATTTGCAGGCAAATTTTAAAAAAATTTGCAAACTATATACAGATTATAAAAATGATGATTAATGAAAAAATATAGAAAAATATTAATAATTAATAACAAAAATTAAAAATTAATTTCCGAGAAAATTACATTTGAAAATTTACTGATATAACTTCTTTATTACATATGTTTAATCTCAATTTTCAAAGAAAATAAAGACTTGAGCAATGAAATTTTTTTTTTTTCAACTTTTAAATTTTATTCTACATTTTTACTCATTTATATATATATAATAACATTCTATCCAACTTATATTTGAAAAATTTGATTAATTTCAAAAAATAAATTTATTATATAGATTTATTTTGAAAATCAAATGAAAAAAATCTTTATTTTTTCACGAGTAATTCTTGTTCGATTATACCTATCATGGACAATGATAGAATGCATTTATTAACATATAAGCAATTGAAATTTACATTAAAGATAAAGATCGTTAAAGACAGCTTTATCTCACTTTATTTTTGATTTACTTTATCTAATGCAAAATTAAATTATTTATAACTTAATAAATAAGTTTTAATCAACATTTATTATTATTTTTATGTTTATAACTCTTAAATTTGGTTCTTCAAAGATGATCTTTTACGAATATATTAACACTTTATATTATCTGACATTGAAATCCGGTTTTAGTATAGTTTTTGTTTCATAAATAAATTTCATATGCAAGTTATTCACCAAAGAAAGATATGATATAAAAAAAAAATAAATTAAAAAATATTTTTGAATGAAATGAATTACGAAACTGAATAGTTCTTATTGGTAAATAAAAAAATTAATTATTTTTTTAAAATTATATTCATATTAAAATATAATTTGAATATATAATAATAAAATAGTTTCTTTTTTTAAAAACAAATAAATATAAATACAATATATAATGTGTACATATATATATATGTAATACATATCAATATATAATTAATATACAATATATACAATCGAAATATAATATAATTAAATATAATATAAATACTAATCGAAATATATAATTAATATCAATTTACAATTTCTATTTTAAAATATTTAAAATCACGATAAGTTGAATTCTAAATCGTTTTCATAATTTTTTCCAAGAAATAGTCCTTGTCACTGACTTCTGTTGAGATCCCCACTTCAGCAAGCAACTTTCTTATATATAAAAGAGAACGTTAAAAATCCTATGTATATTCTTCCGCGCATCGTGCAGGTATTTTCAAATAGCATTAATAAAATTGAAGATTCGAAAAGAAATTGTTGTTTTTCAAAAATTAATCAGTTAAAATGAGGATGGTTTTTTTGTTGAATTTTTCCGGAATTATGTGCTTATTATTGTTATCTTTGATTTATGGTAAGCATGATTTTATTTTTAATAATAAAGGAAAAATAAATTTCCATTATTATTATTTATAAATTAAATTGGAACAAATTTATATATAATTTTTATAGTAAACTGAATTTGTATAAAATAATCAAACTTTTTTTATAGAATTTAAAATTTAGAAATAAAATAAAATATATATCAATTTGTAAGAATATAGAATAAAATTTTGCTGTTCTTTTTTTTTTTTAAAATTATAGATTTTTTTTTAAGTTTTTTAATGTTTAAATTTAGATTTCAAATACCATTTTATATTCTAGAAATTGATCGAACAGTTATGTATATGTAAAACTTAATATTAATATAGCTGATGAGATAAGTCTACTTATAGACAAGATTTGCTACCTGTAGACAAAAAATGCCTCCTACATTCGTTGATGAAACTATAGGTAATACAGTTTTTTTTAGTTTTCTGTATGTATTTCAAATTAAATTATTATTAAATTTTTATTTGTTGAAAATTTGGTTTATATTGAATTTAATAATATGTTATATTGAATTATTAAAGATTAATAAGTTTTATTAATTTTTGAATTTAAAATATAGATTTAGATCAATTTTAATTTATATTTAATATTTGTAACTTTTGATAAAATAATTTTTTAATATTAAAAATGATATTTTATTTTAGAATCTATTTATCAAATTGAGAATTGAGAATTATAAAAAAGGCAATAATTTTTAGTATCCTGAATCAACTTTAGAATAAAAAATCAACTCAGAATTCGGCAATTTTCTTTGTAATTATACAACTGTTAAAGAAATAATTCTTTTATAATATATAATTATATATTACTTATACATACATATGACATAAATTACGCTTACATTATATATATTACGCTTATATTATATATAAAAAAATTCAAAATAATTAAGATATATTTATTTATTGATTCATAATTATATTCTTTTAAATATATTTTATTCATTTTTTTTTAATTTATTTACTGAATTTGAATGTATTAATTTATAATAAATTATAATTATATTTATAATAATATTTATAATAAATTCTTCTCTCTAATAAACTCTAATATATTTATAATAAATATTTCAAAGAAACCTATTTTTTAACAAATATAACAGAGCAACAAACATTAGTAATAGCAACAGAAATGGTATCAAGGGTATGTCTGGGATGTATATGTGAAGCTGCTTCTGGATGTAATATTACAATTGGTTGTGATGAATCTGTTTGCGGACCATTTCGTATAACATGGAATTATTGGGCTGATGCCGGTAAACTAACACTTGATGATAATTTAAACGAAAATGGTTAGTATATATATAATTTAATTTATAAGTGAAATTTAATGAAATAATTAGTGAAATAATTTGAAATAATTAAAAAAAAAAAAAAAATTTGCTTTTAGCGTATGCACGATGTGTAAACGATCCTTATTGTGCAGCTCGTACAGTACAAGGTTACATGATGAAATTTGCTCAGGTATACAAAATACATTAATATAAATTTCATTTAAGCATTCGCATGTAATTATCGAATTCATTATTTTAAAGTTTATTTCAAGAAACTATATTTACTTATAACTAATATTTTATTTTGTTTAAAAAAAATATGTGAATTTAAATAATTTTTCTATAAGTGAAAATATTTAAAAAAAAAAAAGATTTTGAAAATCAATTTTATTTTTTAAATATATTTTATATATATATACATATATATATACATATATTTTATATATTAATTGATGCAATTGGATTATTATTTTTATAAAAAATTATTAAACTTTAAAATATATAAAAAGTTATTAATTTAATAAACATTTTAATTTTAAAATGTAATTGTAAAATTTATTATAATGTAAAGAGATGAATATAAAAAGCTATGTATCATATTTTTTGGCATATGACAAAATTTTTCAAAATAAAAATTAAAATATCTTCAAAAATGATTTATTATAAATGATAGCACTTCTTTATGAGAAATGAAAAAATGTATCAAAAAAATATATGATTTTATTAAAAAAAGTAAAGTAAATATGTCCTTTATATTTCTAATAATGAAGAAATCATTTATATTAAATTATTTCCATCAAAGCATAACATTTCAAAATATGAGTTTTACTTGAAACATTTTTTGTAATAATGAATAATTCAATTGATAATTATATGTAGAAGTTTAAATGATTCACAAAAGATTGTTTATTAAAATTATTATATTAAAACATAATTATTTACTTTTTTTTTCTATATGTTTATTTTTAGGATTGTAACAATGATGGTAATATTAATTGTGATGATTTTCTTCGCATTCATCGATTAGGTGGATATGGATGCAATGGTTCATTAAATTCAAAATATGAAAATATTTATAAACTTTGCATGCAGACTTTTGAAAAACAATAATTACAACAATGTAAGAACACTCATAAAAAATATAAAATTATATCTTACATATATATATATATGTTAATAAATATAAAAAATAAATATATGATAATAATTTTATTTAATCCTGAAAAATTAGAAATTGATTTAAGAATTTTTGCTTTAAATCTTCATTTATGATAAATAATTAGTGATAAGAGAAATTAAATAATTTAGTGTTTTTATAAAGTGATTTTTTTTTATTATATTTTCAATAAAATTACAATTTTTTGTTATATATAAAATTTAAAACATAATTTTAGATCCGTGTAAAATTAATATTTTATCTACAATTTCGATTCTTTTTTTTAATATTATTTTTTCCTTATCTAATATTGAACACATATCTATATTTTTTACCAAGAAACAATTTATAAATAAACGAAGGCTTTCCCTAAAAGTCTGTAATTGAGAAGAAACAGATATTCTTTCAAATACTTGGATAGAAGCCTGTTCATTTTCATGCAATAGAATTCCCAATATAATTTGTCTGAGAAATATTATAGTATGTTTTTCAAGTTCAGTAAATTGAATAACCTATAATAAACAATTTAAAAATACAAGATAAATTTGTAATATATATTGTTAAACTAATAAAGAATATAGTACTTACTTTCAAAATTGACAAAGCAAGACATTTTTCAATGAGTAAATGAATTAAAAATTGTATTAAATTAATTAGTTGTTTATTATTATATGCTTCTAATGTTTTCAATTTGTCCCAAAAATTGCATTGTATTGTAAGCTAAACCATTATTATTATATTAAAGCATTAAAATATATTATTAATCATTTATACATATATGAATACACAAAAAAATTTATTAAAATTTTTGAAAAATAATTGAAATTAATAAATATTATTTAACATATTAAATAACAATATTATTGTTGCATCTTATAACAATAGAAATATAAATATTTATTGTTAATTTTTTGGATATCTAATATTAATTTAAAGTAAATTTTTATATTTAATATATATATGTACAATCAAATTTGTTTTAAAATAAAACAATTTTTTGATATGCTATTTTTTTTTTACTTGATACATAAATAAATAGAATTGTAATTTTTTCATATAAAAAAATATTTAAATGCTATTTCACTTTTAAGCTATAAATTTATTAATTTTAGTATCTAATTTTTTTTATATAATAGTCAATTTTATATATAAATCTCATATATAATCTTATACATAAGTAAATACACATGAAATGTGTTTTTTAGATATTAATTTATTTAATAAATTTTTTTGTAAAAAATTTGCTAATACTGAAATATAATTATAATTTTTTTCATATATTTTGTGTTGTTTAATATAATACATATAATTATTACATACCTGATATTTTCTATTATATTCACATAATTTTTGAGCTAATATTGCATAATAAGGATTAAATTTATTTTCTTGTAAACAACAATGTATTAATACATGTATGATTTCTGTTTCTTGTTGATCTTTCAAACCAAGATGATGAAGTTTTTCAAAAGCATCTAAATAGTCTTCAGCTGTCATAAGAATGCAAAAAATATTTTTTCTTATATCAGTATTCATTCTTTGTTTTTGTGCCAATTTCAAAATTTGTATACTAAAATTAAAATTATTATGTTGTTTTAAATTTGTTTTGTCACTTATATTATTTGAACCAGACCAAGCTGATCCTATAATCCACCATTTTCCTTTTTCATCAACTATAATGAAAGTATATATAAATAAATTATGCTTTAGATTTAAAGTTATAAATATCATATTCATATTTATATTAAATTTAAAGTTATAAATATCATATTTATATGATATTTATATATATAAATATCAAATACCATGTAATAAATCCTTTAATGATACATTGAATTGTGTTATTGTATTGCCTTTTCGTATTATATTTTTAATAATTTTCTTTAAGTGTTCTACATGAGAAGGATCATATTGAGGTATTTTATTAATATTATTATTTTTTATTGCTAATAAAATGTCCAACATAAATTTAACTCTTGAACTGCACAATTAATCATTTGATTAGTTTCTAATAATTTTTATTCTATACTTAAAAGATATAAGAAAACTTACTTTTTTTTATTTTCATGAATAGCTTTTTGTTGTAAACTTTGTATAAATTCTTTTAAAGCATTTGGATCATCCTTTCTCAATGAAAATCCTACTGTCTTTAAGATAAGTAATATTAATTCAATTTCTTTTTCTGTAAATTTTATCATCAATTTGTTAAGTATTTCATAAAGAAGCTTGTATCCAAATACCTGTATAAAATAAAATTAAAATAACTTAATTAATTAATTTCTCTTATATTATAAATAATAATATAAATTATTGTTTAACAAAATTTTCATACTTTAAAATTATATAGATGTGAAATAATAAGAACTATATTATCTAATTCTTTATTTGCTATATTTTGAAATTTTTCCGTGATTTCAATAAATTTTTTAATAACCTTTTCTAAAAAATTTGCACCTACTTCAATACCAATATTAGCATGTAAAATCGCAATTAACATCATATGTTCACAAATAAGACGATCTGGTGTAATTACATGTGATATTAAACTTTCAAGTACTAATTCTGATAATATATTGTTCATATTATTACGACTATTTGTCATATACAATGCTTCTATCTGTAATATATAATGTAAATATAAATCATATAATAAGCAAATTCATCTTAAATATATACATTTATTTATATAACTATATTTTGTTTTATAATTATACAATTACCTGATTTACTATACTATACATATTATATTCTGCCACTTTATTCAAACAACCTTTTAATTGTTTTCTTAAAAAATATAATTTTTCATCTTCATTTGAATTTATATTATGTGTAATAGTTGCTCGTATAGCAGGTGGAACATATTTGTTTGCATTGTTTGCGTATATAACATTACCTTCTTTATCTCTTTTTCTTCCATAAATATCTTCCCAAAAATCTTTATCATTAATACTATAGTCAGTACTATCAATTTTTTTAGTTTGTGTATTTAAAACTTTATCTGAACTATTATTATTATTCTGTTCTATAATCAATGTATAATTTTTTGACATTTTTGATTCGATATTTTCATTTTTATTTTCTTTAATATTATCTAATGCACTACTTGTATACATATTTTTTTCTATTTTTAAAGAATTTATATTAAATTGATTGCTAAATTCATCTTCTAAGATTTCTTCTTTTGTTTCTATAATATATTTTTTGTTTTTTTGTAAACAAAAATCCAAAAGATCTATTCATATATTAAGGAAATATTATAATTTTTATTTCAAAGAATTAACAATAAACAAAAATTTATATAATTAATTAATATTTTTAATGTTAATAGGCAATCTTCTTCTATTTGCTGATGAAGTCTTTATAATAAATGAACTCATGATTTAACTAATCAGCGAAAATGATAATAAAATAAAATAATAAGTTACTCAACAAATATTTTATAATCAAAAAGGATACAATCTAAACCATCAGTTACAAAAGATTTAGGAATTGTTTTTTTTTTTCTTTTAGTTAATTTTAATTTCTTTTCCAATTTTCTAATTTCTTTATCTTCTTTTAAATTAGCTTTTTTGAGTAATTTACATTTTTGTATTTTTTTTTTATATTCAAATTCTTCACTTTTTTTGGTTTTAACCTGTTCGAAACAGTTGGTTATAGATATTATCGAGTTATGTACTTTTTCAAAACAATTATTTTTTGTATATTTTTTAGAACTTTCTAATCGATTTATCTCTTTGTTAATGATTTTGTTATGATTTGTTTTATCATCATTAATATTAGATATATCCACACATAATTCGCGTTTATTTTTAAAATAAATTGATTTATTAATTTTTTTTTGCTTTCTAAGTTCTTTCCGCATTTGTTTCCGAGATTTTCCTGTTAATTTTAATTCTATTTTTTTAATATTTAATTTTGATTGTTTTGATAATTTCATTTTATATTTTATTAAATTATATAGGTTATGCAAAATGTCTCAACCGACAAGAATTAACTCGATCAAGAATTGGGAATTATCAGTAGAATTCCCAAAAGCGGGCTCTGGCTAAATTTATAAAATTAAAAGATTTTAGATATGTTCACTAATTTAAATATGCCGAATAGCGAATGACTACTTATTATTAAATAATTTAATATAATATATAATTTAATATAGAAAAGTATTTGAATTAGTATTTGAGCTTTGGAAATTGAAAAAAATGAACAATAAAACTTGAAAATATATATAAAGAAAATTAAAAAAATAGATATTAAAAAAAGAATAAATGATATATAAAATATATAAATATAGTATTTATAATATTTATTCACATCAATTTGTGAAAAAAGAGCGTTTTTATTTAAATATAATTCATTTATTCAAATAAAATAGAGTATTTATGAATAAAAAACAAAATTATAACTTATATTATAATTTAAAATTCATAATAATAATAATTTTAAAAAATCACAATAAAGCTTTCTTAATTATAGGTTTTAAAATTTTATACTTTTTTAAACTAAACTTCTTTATACATATAAATATAAA